TCCAACCATTCCCATGTCCCCCAGACCCCAGAAGTCAACCAAGACCAGAAAGTATGGTGACTGGAGGGAAGAAAAATTCTTTCCCCCACCCCACTTAATTTTAACACCGTCGTTACAAAGTTGTTCATGATGATTTATTACAGACACTCAAGAGTCCAACACCAATTCCACTACCGTCACCTTCCCTCCACCATAGCCTCCAATTTTCCCAACGACCCCTAAAGCCTGCACCTGTAGCAGTCCCACAATCATTTATTCCATATTGCTTGTTCCCATTAGATGGCTAACAGAATGATCAAAAAAAATGATTTCTGTAGGAAAAAAATAATTGGTGAAAATTGTTGTATCTTGGTGGGTGAATTAGGCTGCAGCGAGCCCAGATCCCTTGGCAAGTGCTGGAATGAAAATGATCTGAACCTCAAAGGGGATGGATTTAGGACGAGTAATATTTTTTAGAAAGTGAATTCCATCAATCAACCATTGTAATCAAGTTGGTGTAATTCCTCTTTCCCTCCTGATTCTCATCAGATGTCCTGTGCGCATTTGGGGAAGGAAGTCAAGCCACCATTCATTGGGCAGCTGGCTGCTGAGGATACAAGTTGAAGAGATATTTTCTCTGTCTTCCAAATGCCCTCCCCCCCACACCCACACAGTCTTCCTCTTCTCTTCCTCCATGAAGCCTGTTCCCAGGAGGGCAGCTGGTTCCATCAGCCAGACAGAGAGAGCAGTTACCCGCACTGGGGAGGTGTTGATGGCTCTGCCTGTCAACTGCTCCATTTCCGGGCTCTTCTTCCTTGTGAGTTCCAGGGAGCCACATGACCGGCAGGTCCCACACCGCATCTCCCAGTTTTAACTTCTCGGCTCAGTGCAGGGCACAGGGCTGGGGTCCAGGTGGCTAAGTAAGGCATGACTTCTGGGGAACCTCTTCCTTTCCATCCCCTCCCCAGGGCAGGCTGAGAGCGTCATGGCGAGTGGGCAGTGTTTTCGGGATGAACAGGTGTAGCCACAGAACCAAATGACTCTGGATCTCTCCATCATCCGCTGGAGCAGAACCACCTAAATGCTTCAAGGCTTCTGTCCCGCCAGACTGACAGGGGAGAATTCAATCATGGCAGACTTAGCGACTGGGCTCCTGAGAAAGCCGTCTCCAGGGAACATCCTCGTAATAGTGACCATCAGGACTCTCAGCTGAACAAGCCAAAGGAACACACCAAGCTGGAACCTACTCTGGGCTCCTTACATCCTACCTGGGAGTGGTCCCTAGAGCTGTAGTCAGGATGTGTGTAACAGTGATCCCAAAGTCCCTGATATGCCAAAGCCTCGCTCTATGCATTTAACCACGAACTGCTTGGGACAGTATTTTATCCCACTGTGTATGTATCAAAGACTCATGATAAGATACTAAGAGCCAAGCAATGAGAGAAAGGGCCAGATATTTGGGTCTTTCCCACAGGAGCTGGTTCTGTTTGAGGTGGGCACCATGCCCAGCACCCTTTATAGTCAGGCTCCATGCCCTGGTGTTACACATTACCTGAGTTTCCCCTGTTCTGTGCAGTAAGCTCAGGAGATGAGGTTTTTATTCTTCTTCATTTAAAAAAAATATTTCCACCTAAAAGCTACTGGCTGTCTGGTATTTTGAGTTTTTCAGTGGCTGAACATTGAAAAGAAGGGTATTGAGCTTTCAATGACTATCCAATTCAAACAGTTTCCCATTCTCTCCCATGTGCTGTTGACGTTTGTGCAACTTTCTTTTTGGGTGCTTAACATTTCTGCGTTTTAATTGTCTTTTTTTTTTTAACTGTCACTGTCCTCTCATTGTTCATTGATTTGCTCGAGCAGGCCCAGTAACATCTCCATCATGAGACATGACTTAAAAAATTTCCTAATAGTCAGAAATTAGGAACTAGTGGGCCACAGGACCCTTATCTTCGAGAGAGGGCAACTCTAAAAGGAGGTGTCTGTGAAGTGAGAGTGTCTAGGGCTTCTGCCCCTGGCGATGATGGACTTCTTGGCTTCATACATGAAGGTGATGACGTGCACCACCTGGGTTTAAGATGAGCCACACGCACAGCCCCCTGGCTCTTGGCAGCAGTTGTACTGACGCGTGGCCTCCTTGCAGGCCTTTGATTGTGGGCCACTGTTGGAGCCACATGAGACACACAGCTCATTGCCAGGCCACCTGCAGACCAGGCCCAGCTGCTCTACTGATCTCTGGGGGTTGCAGCGCAGAGGCAGCACCTGGGGGAATGTTCCGGATGGTGACCTGTGCCCACAGGGGGTGGGTGAGGTTTACTATGAGGAAAGGTGCTGAAACTGGAAACCAGTCTAGCAGAAGAATCTTTTGACTCAGGTGACTGGGGCTGGTGTTTATCAGGACTGATCACAGATGTCTCATTTCTCTTCTCTTTCCTGGTCTTGCAGTACCAGTGGAATTATCCGCCCTCGTTATTTTGGGGTGAAGACCAAAAGCAGTGCTCAGGGACAAAGCCTGAGGAGCCAGTCCCTGCAGTGCCCACCACGCTCATCCCCAGGGCCAGAAGCAGTGGCCAAGATGCTGAGTGCTCAGGATGGAAACCTGGCACTTCTCAGACCCAGCCATGCTGGGTGCTGCTGGGCCTACTTCGGATACCTCCAGGGCTACACCAAGAGGTACCCAGGTACCATACGCTAGAGGGTTCTTGCACATGAAACGCATGTGTCCCTGAACCCTGAGATCCCCAAGGGGGCCCATCTGACCTCTATAACGTTAGGTGTAACTGCACAATTTGCCTAGCCAGGAGGTTTCCAAACCAGTGTTTACACCTGCCGTCCTGACCCCTCACCCAGCTAGCCAGTGTTGACAAGGGCCTTTCAGGGTCCCTCCCACCTCCATCTCCCTCCCAATCTTCAGGGGCAGTGCAGCAGTACTCATCTTTGAAAGGCATGAGGGAGAGACTAGGACAGCCCACTCTAAGACACTCCCCCACCACCACGCTCATCCCCAGGACCAGGAGCAGTGGCCAAGATGTAACTCAGCCCATGTGTGGCTGGAGTATGGGATCCCACTTGGAGAAGTGAGTGTGCAGAACCACACACGATGCAGTGCTTCAGGGAAGCCAGCCACACTGGCTGCAGACGCCTGTAGCGGCAGGAAGGGGGGCAGTCAGGCCGAACGGGGCATCGGCCCACTCCCGCATCTTCACCAAGGCAGCAGACTAGCCCTCAAAGGGACAGGTGTGTGGGAGGGCAGCGAGCAAGAGTGCTGACACTGGTTAAGGTCACCTACCTGCCATGCGGCCATGCTGCACTCCTCAGGTTCATCCAAATGGCCCAGGCCCTCACACCCGACTCTCTGGTTCAAATTCGCTTTTTCTAGATGCCTGTGGGGGGCCCAGAGAAGAGGAATCTGGAGGTCCCAAGCATTGAACATGTCACAGAACTTTTCTCTGTCTCTCTCTTTCTCTGTCTGTCTGTCTGTCTGTCTCTCTCTCTCTCTCTCTCACACACACACACACACACACACGTAACTCTCATTTCCCATTTAAAGGAACCACAACTTTTGTGTGGATAAGTAACAGAAGGCTTATGAAGTAAGAAGTTAGCTCAGCAGAGAGCCTGGGAGTTTTTTCCTTTTGACACTCTTAGTGTCAAAAGGGGGTGAACTGGGAGCAAGTTTATGCATCACCAACTTTGGCTGCAGTATTTTCCCAACAATGATGCTAAAGTCACAGGACAGAGACCTGCATGGAGAGAAAAAAGCTAGAAAAATCTGGACCCAAGTCTTGGTTTGCTGTTGTTTGGGGGCCAAACCCAGCGATGCTCAGGGCTTATTCCTGGCTTGGCAGGTGACCCATGTCTTAATGAGGTGATTGGCCAGCAGGAGGAAGGAGGGAGAAAGCAGGCTTGCTGCCACGCCCCCCAGCTCGGGCAGAGGACAAGCAAAGTGCAGTCTTCCCCGCCCCATCCCTCCCCCGATAAGCAAAGCTATTTATCACAGATCACTGCTAAGTGCTTTCAGGGACACTGTCACTTCCTCTCCAGATATACCACTATTCCTGTGAATCATAGAGAAACAGGAGTGGCACAAGATGGGGGCTGAGAAGTCCAAGGACACCCCAGTGGTGGAGGAAGGGTCTCTAGTCCACTTGCGGCTACGGCAGCACCTGGGGCCAGGATCAGGGTCTGGGTCCTTCTCTCCCGCTCCTTCCCCCTTCTGTATACTCCACAACTGCAGTCAGTGGGACAGACCAGAGGCGAGACACCGGGAAGTGGGTGAGCTGTGTCAGGAAGGGCAGGAAGGGATCCAAACACGCCGAGTCCCCACGACACAGGCAACCTGGTTTGGTCTCTTGCTCTGGAACAGGCACCTGCTGACCGTCAGCCTACGTGCCGGAGGACCCAGGATAGATGCGAGGGTCGTGCCTGATCCAGGGGCTTCGTAAGGCAGGAGCTGGGAGACTGGACGACTGGACTGAGGCAAGCACAAAGGCCATGGGAAGGTTCTGGGACTCGTCTTTATTTCCCCTCACTCCCACTCCTGCCCTTGGGGGCGGCCGGGCCCCTTGGCTTGCAAGGTCTGGGGCCCTTTCTGATGCCCTGTGCTGGTGGGGAGGTGGCCACAGGGCTGAAGGGGCTTGGGGAAGGCTCTGGACTCTGGGCAGGGCTGTTTGCAGCCCCTGGCCCTGCTCTCTCGGGGGCAGCTCCGCTGGAGAGGCAGGAATGCTGGCGGCGCCAAACTTGTTGCCCCGCCACGGTCCTGGGGCTGCAGGAAGGGAACCTATGAGCCCCGCTCAGCGTTGTGCCTGGGTTATCCCATCAGCCGGGTGCAGGCAGTGGACAGCCGACAGTCCCTCCACCACTGCAGTATGACGTGGTACCCGGTGCCTGTGCAGGTTCATGCTCCCTGGCTTCTCACGGAGAAAAGGGAGACGAAGGAGGAGGAGGAGGATAGCGAAGAGGCCAGGCTGCTCCTGTCCTGCAAGTGGGGCAGCGCGACAATCCTCCACAGCGGCTGGGAGCTCAGTAGCCGACCTGCGGCGGGGACACGCCCGGGGGGACAAGGGCAGTCGGCCGGCTCATTTGTTGGCCACGGCGGAGAGCTGGTCTCGGATGCGGCCAAGCCCGTCGAGCATGGTGTCCAGTGTCTCCTTACTCAGCTCCATGGTGACCGCTGTCACGGACGGTTTGTCCCCACACAGAACGGGGTCTTCCTGGATCTAAAGAGAGAGCAGGAACCCGGGTCAGAGCAGCCACGCTTCCCCCTTGTGTGAGCTGTGCGTGTGCTGAGTGAGTCACGTGTTTGCTGAGTGAACTGTGTGTGTGCTGAGCTGTGTGAGTTGAGTGAGCAGTTGTGTACTGAGTCATGTGTGCTGAGTGAGCTGAGTCGTGTGTGAGCAAGAGTGAGCTGTGAGTGAGTCGTGTGTGCTGAGTGAGCTGTGTATGTACTGAGTGAGCTGTGCATGTGCTGAGTGAGTTCTGTACGTGCTGGGTGAGCTGTGTGTGAGCTGTGTGTGTGCTGAGTGAGCTCTGTGTGTGCTGTAAGTTGTGCACGTGCTGTACATGTGCTGAGTGAGCTGTGTGTGTGCCATGCCGGTACTGAGCTGTGCCTATGACATGTGTGTGCCATGTGTGTGCTATATGCCCCCTGCAGGGAGGCAGTCTGCCGGCAGTCAGGAGGCATCTGAGCTGGGAGTGCCCCTGATACAGGGAGAGGGTGGAAAGGAAATCTGGAAATCTCAGCAGCGGGGCCAGTCTCTGTTGACAGGGAGCACTGGGCAGGGCTCTGTGGGCCGAGCCCTAGTCAGGACACTCCCCTAAGAAGACATTCCCTAGGTGCCCAAGGCTGTGGGCACAGTCCACCGGGTGGCAGAGAAAATATTATAACTCCGTGTTCAGATTTTCCATCTATTTTTTTAAATGCAAGAGTTATTAGAATTTAGGAAGCCAGCTGCTGGAGGCAATCTTCCTTCTTCACTCTGACAGGTGCTGTGACTCTGGGTGCCGGGCAGTCAATACGGAGTTCCAGGCATCTGGTTTTTATCTAGACAAGCTTGCAGGTGGAGAGGTGCCATAAAAAGCTTCCTGCAAGGAACTGTACGGGGAAGATAACACCAGGAGAAAACAAAGGACTGACATCCGTCATTTCTCCAAGTGCTAAACTGTCAGCCGCCTCACAAACCGGGAAGCCTAATCAAACAGGGTCTCTGGGGGAGGGGGAAGGGGGCACCAGGGCACCCAAGGGACCGAGCAGGTGGTCTGAGCGCTCGGCTCCGGGGGAAGCTAAATCATCCCACAGTGTAGGGGGAAGGGGGGGACCTTGAGCCAGCAAGGTACCGATTCCAAGTCTCATGACTGGCGTTTCCAATTTCCACTGTTACGATGACTCCAGGGGGTCAGCAGAGTAACTCTGGGAAGAAATAGTCACTAGGCTGTTTCTGAGCCACACCCACCCAACCGTGCTCCTGGCACTGTGCTCTGGGATCACTCCTGGTGGTGCTCAAGGGGCTGTATGTGGAGCTGGGGTTCAAACACTCAGGCCAGCTGCGTGCCAGGCAAGTGCCCCACCTTCTGTCCAATCTCTCCAGCCCCACCATTCTCTGTTCTTAGGTGAGAGACGCCAAAGCTCTGGAGACTGGTGCTTGCGCAGCCCGGGTTGGGTGGTGGTGGTGGGGGTGTGGACCCCTTCTGGAGGCCGCCATACCTTCATCTGGAGCAGGCAGGTGGGGACGGCCATGCGGCTAATGCTGTCCGAGGCGGTCTTGATGTCCACTCTCCAGTCCAGGTCCACCAGGCGCGGCAGGGAGACTGTGGAGGGGACAGCTCTGCTCAGTGCCCCGCCCACTGTGCACGAGGCTCCACAGTGTGAAGGGCACTTCTGAGCGGGGACGGGCCTTTGGCTTCACCCCCCGCCCCCGTGGCAAGCCTCAGGGGAAAAAGACAGACAGACAGACAGGACCCAAAGCCCCCCATCCTCCACCCTGGGCTTCTGGGGCTCCGTGGTGGTGGTCCTGCCAGGCTCCAGCCCCCACACCTGCCGCTCAGGTGCCAGGATGGAACGAGACTGGCACCTGGTTGAGAAGCTGAGCTTGCGGTGGGCTGCCGCACCTCCTGGGGAAGTGTGTGTGTATGGGGGGGTGTCCTAGGCCAACCCGGATTGCAGGACCAGCTGCCAGCATCACTGTGGGCACTACTCCAGCACTCGGGTAGACCCGGGGCAATGGAGGGGCCATTGATGAAGCGTTACCTTCGCAGTCTGGTTATGGGCCCATGCCCAGCTGTGCTCAAGGGCTATTACTGCTGGCACACTGCCTGCAGTTCCTGCCCTGTGCTCAGAGCACACGTGTTCCTGGGGCTGGAACCCAAATACCTGCGTGCACAGCAGGAGCTCAGCCCCTGAAGCTCAGTCCTAAATATCTACTTTTATCTGACCTTCTGAACGTTTTATTTATGATCAGTTGTTTTTTTTCCACCCTCCTCTCCCCTCCTCCCAAGTGAAAATTCAATTATTTGAAGTCCTTCACTTACCCCCCTTCCCCCCCCACCACCGGGGGATATTTTTGGTTTTAAGGTTTTGGTTTTTAACAATAGATCTGCACTATATTTAGATGATCACGGGGAGAAAATGAAAAAGCAGAATGCACATGACGGCTACAGCTGGGTGTGGGCTAGAATAATTCCCTTCACTCTCTGGTTAAAGACACTCTCAGGGACCATGGCTGGCCAGGAGGGAGGGTGATCACGGTACTCACTCTGATTGTTTTGGGCTTCAGTTCTCCAAGTAGCTCTGTGTGGGAGAGAGAGAGAGACAAAGAAAAGGCACGATGAAAAGAAGACCCCAGGGAAGGCCCTTGGACTGGAGCCTCAAAGCTGTAATCATCAAAGGAGGAAGAAAGGCCCTAGGGCGGCTTCTCTCCAAGAGGTGGATCCATGTGTTTTACAAAACTCCATGAAGGGAAGGCAGCTTGCTTTCACGATTTCGGAGGGGAAAGCAAAGTCGGGATGCACTGTCTTCCTACTGTGCTTCTCGTCCCAGAGGCAAAGCCTAGAAAGGACAAGTGACCTCCCCTCCCTGAGTCTCTGCTCCACACACCTCACAGCCTGGCTAACACACTGCAGAACAGATGGTCTAATACGCCAGCAACGACGGAGCTGATGAGAGGTGAGCAGGGTCGGCACAGCACACGAGCACATCTGAGAATGCTTCTGAGCCACAAACCCCTCAGCCGTTACCTGCTAATGCCCAGCGGAGTTTGGACTCAATTTGCTGCTAGCCAAGAGTGAACTGGTTCTGCCTAGATTCTACGAGTCTAAAAGGCTTGACCTAGCCAGAAAATTCACAGGAGAAATATAAATGACCGCTGAATACATGAAAAAAATGATCTGGCATAGTAAGTATCAAAAATATAAAAAAAAATAAAATCAGGTACCATCTGTCATAAGTGAAAGTGGCAAGGGGTGGGGTGGGGGGGATGTTAAGAAACAATCCCTCCCTCACCAAAAAATCCCACCAAACCCTCGGGGCAGGTGAAGGTGTGGACAGAGGGGCACCTCATGCCCTCCTGGTGCATGACTAGTGACGCCATTGAGGAAATGAAGCCAGAGAAGAGCTTCCACTCCAGTTGGTGACCAAACATGGGAGCTAGGCTCTGCCGAAGCCCTGTTTGCCAAACTGAAAATCACCAAAAGTCTCAACACCCAGCATCCATGAACTGCTTAATTAAATTATACCGGGTTTCTTCCCAGAATCCACATAGGTGGTAGAATAAACACTGCCAAAGGTAAATAGCTATTGATCGGCAACTCATTTGTGTTAGTGCTGTGCAGCGGACACAGGCATGCTGTAACACGGTCTGCTCCACTGCTTGCAGCAACACTGAATTTCCTCGCCAAATACTAGAATGGCAAAGACTCCCAGGTCCTGACTCCTGATGGGCCTCCCCAGGAAGGAGCGCGTGCCGCTGGCCCCGCGGCGTTCTCTTCCTTCCTGCCGACCTCCCCAAGCAGGACTTCCCAAGCCGCCTCTGACTTCCGGGGCAGGGGAGACTCCCACACTCACACGTGTTCCAGGATGATCTTCGTCAGCAGGTTCTTGAGGCTCTGGTGGAAATCCTCGGGGAAGAGAGCCAGGATCGCCTCGGCGGAGGTCAGGTTGCGGAAGACCACCAGGCTGGTGAGGCCGTGCAGGGCCTGGAGCAGCTGCGGGGGACACAGGGTGGCCCTGGGCCAGTGAGGGGGACGGGCGAAGGGCAGAAGGGTAGGGAAGGGCCTGATCCACCACCAACACGGCCCCCCGGGAGACTGTGGGGTTGGATGCCGTGTCTACCTGCTGACCCGGAAAGCTACCTGCCTGCCCACCACTCTGCGCGGGGAGAGTACAGGGTGAATGAGCCCCCTCTTTTCCGTGGAGGTGCAACTTCCCTACCTCATGTATAGCGGCTGGGGGTGGGGGAGGGAGAGTCGGCAGTGACACCAGGCAACTCGGCCCTGATTTGGGGACACCCTGCGGCCCCCAGCTGACCATGGCCTGTGAGGGGCCCTGAGCTCCCTTCCAGTACCCAGAGTGGCACTCCCTTAACTGAACTGGCTCCTGGGATCCCTGGGCTGGGCAGCAAGGACCCGCAGGCGGTGGCATGGCCTTGCCTCGAAGCTGTCAGCAGAAAGGACGCAGAGCCAGAGCCGATCAGAACCCTGAGCGCCACCCTGGCCTTCTCCTTGCCACGAAGTTCTCCTGGGGCTGAGTTAAAAGCTGTGGGTGGTCACCTGTTGGCTGCGCGGTTTTCTCTTGGGCCAGGGGATGCTACAATTGGGCATCACCCAGCAGGGAGGGGTCCCTGGGGGTGTGGGAGTCCTGGGAGAAGAACCCTGCTCCCTGCTCCTCAGGGGCGGCCTTGTGGGGGCCGGGGCGGGGGGCGCTCCCATGCTCTTCCACAGGATTCCAAGTCAGGGCCAGCTGCTCACGACAGCGCCACTGGTGACCACACCGGGCAGCTGCACCAGCCTGTTTTCCCCACTGCCACCTTCACGTGTTCTAGGTGACAGCTGGCACCCAAGTCCTTGCCTGGGTGTCCCAGAGGAAGTCCCCCCCCACCCTGGCTCCCTCCCACCATCTCCTGCCTGCCTTTTTGCCCTCAAGAGTGGATTTCACTGAACAAAGTTCCCAGGTAAAACTCAGCAGTGTGGGCCTTGGAGAAGTTCCCGTTTCCGACACGTGCATGGAACGCTGGGACGCGCCATCCACGTATCCCGCGCAGCTGGCATTGCCTGACCCTTTCTCACGGCCAGTGGCTGAGCTTGGCAGAGACCCAGGAGGACACCTGATCTGTCCTGGGACTAGTGATATCTGGGAGAAACTGCCCTCGGTGAGCTCACTGACCATGGAGGAACCCCGACAAGCGGCAGGATCAGAGAGCAAACTTTCCCCAGGCTGGCTCTGGCCCCCACGATCCAGGGCACGGGTCTGAAAGGGAAGCCATCAGGGGCTGTGGCTTGGGGATGAGGACTTCCAGGGACCCTCAGGGCACAGGAGCCTCTCTGCACACTGACCTGCTCGGCCTCCGCCCGGGTCACTGACAGGCTGGAACACGTCGTCTCCAGCAGTGGGTGGGCGCCGGGGGCTGCACTGGAAAAGCTCTCTCGGCACAGCTGCCGGACAACATCTTTCGAGGAGGCCTAGGAACCAATCCACAGACGGGAACAAGGAACAAACTCAGACTGCGAAGAAACACCCACGTTTCAGAACCACACACAGCCTCGGTCATGGTGGGGCGTCTGTGAGACTCCAGACAGAGGTGCAGGGTGCACTTAAGTGTCGGGGAAGGTAGTGCCCCCCCCCCCCCACACACACACACCACCACTGCCCCCTTTCCAATGCTTGGGGACCATATGGTGTACTGGGGATAAAATCCCAGCAGCCTTGCTTGTTTGATTTTGGACAAAAATCTGGTGATGATCAGGGCTTATTCCAGGCTCTGTACTCTGGGATCACTCTTGGTGATGCCTGGGGACCATACAGGGTACTGGGGATAAAATCCTGGCAGCCTGCGTGCAAGATAAGCACCTTCCTCTCTACTACCTCTCTGCCCTCAACGACAAACAAAATTTTCCAACTAAAAATTATAGTAACAAAAAAGAGGGATGGATGGAGGGAGGGAGAGAGGGAAGGAAGGAAGGAAGGAAGGAAGGAAGGAAGGAAGGAAGGAAGGACAGTAAACAGGCTCAGCACTGAAATGCAAGGACAGATGAAAGAGTCCGTGAACTGGAAGAGAAAACAACGTAAGTTGCCTGGTCTGAACAGCAGAGAAACCAACAGAAAGAAAGAGTAAAGAAAGCCTCGGGGGTCTTTGGGGCTATAAGAGAAGATCTGACATCCATAGACTGTAGTCCTGGAAGGTGAGGATAAAAGAGGGCTAGCCTGAAACACAATTTATAGAAATAGTGGCTGAAAGCATCCTAAATTTAGTTAAGAGATAGAATCTCATAAATTCAAGATCCCAAGTAAATGCTAAACAAAGAAATCTTCAAGACACATCACTGTCAAAGTCTAAACAGTTAAAAAATAATCTCAAAGAATCACGACGATTCTGTTGTTCGTCGATTGCCTCGAGCAGGCCCCAGTAATGTCTCCTTTGTCCTAGCCCTGAAATTTCTTTTAAAAGTGCCATATTAAAGGTTCTTTCAGGGTTAGAAGAATGAGACCCATCATTGTTACTGGTATTTGACATCTTCGGAACACCACGGGGAGTTTGCCAGACTCTGCCGTGTAGGCAGGTTACATCTGGTAGCCTGCCACTTTGTCCAAAGTAAGAATGAGATAATAAGATGTCGTGGCCACAAATGCAGCCACACGCTTCCGGGAGCTGGGTTTTATATCTCAAAGGAAAGAATAAATATTTAACCATGAAGGAAAGACAATTATAATGGCAACACATTTCTCATCAAAAAACCATGATGAAAGGGGCTGAAGTGATAGCACAGCAGGTAGGGTGTTTGCCTTGCACGCGGCTGACCCGGATTCGATTCCCAGCATCCCATATGGTCCCCTGAGCACTGCCAGGAGTGATTCCTGAGTGCAAAGCCAGGAGTAACTGGAATATGGTGTCAGGTAAAAGTATCCTTTAGGATATCAGGAGAGTCTGAGAGGAAGGTAAACTAAGAAACTATCTTATATGACACACCTTTAAAAACCATTAAGAGGTGCTGGAGAAATAGTACAATGGGTAAGGCACTTGTCTTGCACACAGCAGGTCTGGCACCTCAGATGGTCCTCTGAGTCTACCAGAAGTGATTCCTAAGTACAGAGCCAGGAGTAAGCCCTGAGTAGTGCTGGACGTTGCCCCCAAACCAAGCATTAAGAGCCTAGAAACAGAAAGCAAACAATAAGCGAATACTCTCTGGAACACTGGAAGAAAGACAATGTGACAAGCATGAATAAACACAACAGGCTTGTTTCTTGAATGTCTGGATTTCCTAGAGGAAACTGTTATACTGTAATAGTTTCTCTTATTTGGGAATGTAAAAGAATGTAAAGGGGAGTAAGTTTTCAATACTTAAACACTTGAAATGATGACAGTGATTAACTGCTAAATTCACATGTATGTGTATGCATGCCTTTAAGTATGTATCTAACATAGTAACTACAACCACCACTAAAAAAGCCCTAAAGAAATGCATTTTAAAATACCAAATGATGTATCAAAGTAGTTTTTAAAATGTTCAGATAACCCACAGAAAGTCGAGAAAAGGAAAAAGAAAAGGTTTAAGAGCAGAAAAAAAATTAAAAAGTCAGACTTAAACCTCACATAAGCAATACTATATTAAATGTAAATGGCTTAAATATACCAAGTAAAAACAGAAACTAGGTCAGAGTGATAGTACTACAAGAATGGCATTTTCTCTTGCATATGGCTGACCCAGGTTCAATTCCCTGGCATCCCATACGGTTCCCCAAACACTGCCAGGAGTGATTCCTGAGTGCAGAGCCAGGAGTAACCCCTGCACGCTGGTGGGTGTGGCCCAGAAAACCCTTCCCCCAAAACAACAACAACAACAACAACAAAAACCCAAAAAAACAAAACAAAAACAAAAACCTGAAACCCATGAACCGGCAGACTGAATTTTTAAATAGTGACTCGAACGCTTTTTATGAAGAAGAAGTTTCTTCAGGGTCAGACAGACAATATAGCAGATTCATCCTGCAGACCTGGATTCAATCCCCCAAGCTCTGCCAAGAGTGATCCTTGAGTGCAGGAGTAAGTTGAGTACAGCTGGCTGTGTCCCCAAAGCAACAAGTAAACAGCAGACAAAAGTCCTTCCAAATGATGTATCAGTTAATATATCATTATCTTTATAATGATATAGATAATTTTGCCATACCACGTAAACATTATTCAAAGGAAACCTAGAGAGGCTGTATTAATGAAACAGAGTTCACTGTAAAGGAAATTACCCCCAAACAGAGAGGAACACCATAGAATGATAAAAGGTTCTATTTATCAGGACAACCTTCTAGACATGTGTGCAACTTGCAAGAGCTGCAAAAGATGTGAAGCAAAAAACAAACTGACTGAAAGGAGACACAGAGATAAATCCATAAGCATAGTTGGAGGCTTTAACACTCCTCTTTCAACAACTGATAGAACTAGACATATATTCACAAGGATATAGAAGATGTCAACAGCACTATCAATCAATCAAAATGACATTTACGCACACTCTGACAAGTAGCAACAGTATATTTATATCCCTTTCAAGTGTCTGCTGAATATATACCAATACAGGAAATACTCTAGGCCATAAAACAAACACCAGCAAATGTCAATGAAATAAGAGTATATTATTAGGAACTAGAATGGAATCCAGAAAAAGAGGAGGAAAATAATGGCAATGGGAGGACATTTTTCTTGGTGACATCAAAGTCAATATTCTGGTACTGGTGTTATACTATTTTTTTTTTTTTTGGGTCACACCTGGTCATGCACAGGGGTTACTCCTGGCTCATGCACTCAGGAAATACAGCTGCCGGTGCTCAGGGGACCATATGGGACACTGGGAATCGAATCTGGATTGGCCACGTGCAAGGCAAACGCCCTACCCACTGTGCTATTGCTCCAGCCCTACTGGTGTTATACTATTGTTTTGCAAGATAGCAGGACTGTAGTAAATAGGGTAACAGGAAAATGGATCACTCCACATTATTTCTAACAACTGCCTGTAAGTAAGCCTGTTAAGCATCCAAAATTATAACTTTCATAAAATGTTCACCAAGAAAAAGAAAGCATAAAACAGAACTGAACTACTGCTGTGTAATGGAAAGCAAAAGAAGTTTGACACAAAAAAATCATATGCTATATCTATTTGGGGGTGGGGGAAGCCACACCTGGTGGCGGTCAGGGTTTACCCCTGGCTCTGAGCTCAGGGGGGAATCAGGGGACCTTATGGGGTCACCGGGGATCAAGCCACTGTCAGCTACGGGAAAGGCAGGAGCCCTATCTGCTGTAGTTTCACTCCAGGCCAATGCTGTATCATTTAATGCACATTCAAACCTGGGCAATATGAAAATGATGGTGTCAGAAATAATGATAGTGATTACTACTCCCAAGGAGAGCAAGGGTAAGGAAGGCGCAACAGAGGAACTTCTGAAGTGCTGAACTTTTGAATCCTTTTTTCTTTAGTGCTGGTTACAAGGGCATGCAATAAATTATTAGACTGTGCCTTATGATTGTGCTGGGGTGATAGCACAGCAGGCAGGGCGTTTGCCTTGCAGCCAACCCAGGTTAGATTCCTCCATCCTTCTCGAAGAACCCAGCAAGCTATTGGGAGTATCCCGCCCACACTGCAGAGCCTGGCAAGCTACCCCTGGTGTGTTCTATATGCCAAAAACAGTAACAAGTCTCACAATGGAGACATCACTGGCACCTGCTCAAACAAATCAATGAACAACGGGATGACAGTGCTACAGTGCCTTATGATTTGTATACTTTTATGCGTTGTGCTTTTCTTTTTGTTTTTTAAAGAGCTTATTAAATAAATGTCCATTCGATTAAAGGACACTGAGATGGGAAGTGCAGAAAGAGGCCAGAGCAGCTAAAACGAGTGAGAAGCACCGTTCCGTGAGTGGAGAGCTTTGAGTTTCAAGTCCCAGCTTTGTTCCTTCTTCATTAATTCTAAAACAACTACTTATTGAGTAAATAACAACAGTGCAAGATATCAGGCATGGTGAATTCGAATTAACATTGGGGAGGCATTAAAAAAAAAAGAGGGACCGCTGCATGAACCAATGATGACATCATGATGCCACTAATTGTTGACTGTCAAGATCTCTACCCTTTTACACGCTGCTGCTCTTTCCTAAAAAAAAAAAAAAAAAAAAAAGAAAAGAAAAAGAAAAAAAAGTTCTTTATGTACCCTAAATTCTTCTAGAAAAGGCCAGAGGCAAATAAAAGCAAAATGTTAGTACTCCAAGTTCCACGAAAGAAGTCAAGCTGTTCCTTCTTCTGCAGAGGAAGTCAGAAGTTAAGCAAATAATTCCAACCCATCGATTTCCTCTGATCCTTACAAAGCCCTAGGCGCACATCCCTTCCACCCTTTTAATCTTTCATAGGCTTCTCAACAGGATGTCGTGTTGTCCACGGCCCACGCAAGTGCACAAAACGTGGGACTGTGGAGGAGAGAGAAGACACAAAGCCCTCGCGAGGGCCCGGGTGCAGAGAAGGGGCGTTCAGCAAGGCAAGCGTGGGGGAGCAGGGCGACAGCACCCTGGTGCATCAACCCCGAGGGCATGCCCGGGACTTACACCGCCTCCACCCCCAATGCTTCAGTTTACCTTCAGCAGCAACTGGAGCGCAGCAAAGTGTTCCGCTGTCAGCGTGGCCATCTTCCCCGGGTCATGTGACCGCGACCCGCGGCGGAACGAGGTCGCGTGACTCCTCCCTCGGTCGCGAGGCATGCCGGGAATTGTAGTCCGCAAACCTACGCCTTGTAGTCCTCAAGCACCTGGTGGTCCTCAAGACTCCGGGGTCAAGATGCATGTGAAAGGGATAGAAGATTCCACCTCCCACCACCAACGCCCCCTACCTCCCGGGTGCCTGGAGCACCCAGGCAATGCGAGGCCCAGGGCGCGGGAAATTTATTTATTTTGCTGCCTCTTTACAGGCTCTAGAGGAGAAAGTTGTGCATTCCTTTAAAAACACACTGATTGGGGGGGGGGGGGAAAGAACCTGAAGGCACCTTGGGAAAGTCTCCGTTGTGCAGTGATGAGCGTGTGTGTACATATTGGAATTCTTGGAATTTGCCTCTCACCACCTTCAGAATGGGAAATTGCTTCCAAGTGTCTAGCCTGCTTTCTGTCTGAGGGATGGGAGGCGCTGGTATAGGTTGCCTTATCCCGGGAGGAATTGATCGCTTACAGTAGAGTTTCATCATAGGTCACCCCTGTGCTGCCAGGATGTTCCAAGGAGGGGACAAAGGGGAAAATCTCACGTGGGTGGCCGCAGTATCAGGCTGGCGTGGGGGTGGGGGTGGGGGTGGGGTCAACAGTGGGAAGTGAGAAGTGAGGAAAATAGAGAAGTAACAGAGAAAAGAAAACAGTGGGATTGAGAAACACTGGCTTAAAGTATTTAGGGGTTTTCTCATAGCCAGCGCAAGGGAAGGTCTGTTTGAGGAGCAGGGGGAAATACTTAGGAGAAGGGGTGAAATGAAGATATTCCCTGGGAAGCTCCCTTAACTGTGATGCAACGGGGTCATTTATGGAAATAATCTTATTCTGTAAGGTAATCTAAATGACTGTAAGAAGGATTTTGAGTGGGAAGTACAGAATTCTGGCTTACCCAGTCTTCAGAGGTTCTTTCCACTGAAATTGTGCAACAATGGAATTTTGTTTTAATTTATTTTTATTTTGGTTTGGGAGCCACACTGGGGGTGTTCTGGAACTATCTTGGGGCTCCCCAGAATTGCTTGGGGACTGTGCTGTGCCCAGGCTCCAGCATGGAAAGTTTGTACTTTGAGGGAACTCCTGAGCCCTGGAATTTGGTTTTGAAGGAACCATCTGCCTCCTTTGTCTTACAATCTCCCAATGGATCTTTCTCTCACACAATTTTAGTGTCTGGCTGACACTTTGCCTCCTACCAAACCCACATTAGTAGTGAAATTTGGCTCAAAACAGGTTTGGATAAATCCAAGCCCCCAAAAGATGATCTAATTGTGAAATTCCAGATAATGCAGAGTTTCTGGGATAATCTACCCTCTATCCTCTCTGTCTCTTTGTCTTTCTTTTCTTTACCTCCAATTTTTTCTGTGAGAGTGTTGTCTAAACTCAGTTTATCTTAGGACAAAACATAACTGGATTAGATTTGAGAGACACACATAATCATAGAGTTATGATTCTAATATGCTCTCTCTCTCACCCCCTCTCCTTATCCCTCTTTTTTTCCCAAGTAGAACTGGATTCTTGTTTTCTGCTGTAAACACTGTAAACCTATGGACTGTCTGTGTCTTAGGGCCAGCTCAAGAGCTTGAATAAATTAAATGTTTGTTAAAGTACACACACAGCACATACACAACACACACAAAATACCCTGCCACCGATGTGGTTTGACTGAGATTAATTTCTGTCCGTTTTCCCCGTGCATGTATTTTCTTATTATTTATATGACCATCTCTTCTTGCCTTCTTTTTGAAAGATGGGCAATGTGAGTGCCAGCCTCCAAAATGACCCATGATCTCTGAATCCGGTATTCATACCTCGGTGGATCCCCCCGACATTGTACTAGGGTTAGTGTGTATGACCAACAGCAGCTGACAGACATGATGGTGTGTAAATGCTGAAAGCAGTTATAAATGACTAACTCCTGGGTGCTCTCTTGTCTGCCTGCTCTCTTTTTCTGGGATCTCTTGCTTTAGAAAGCAAACTGCTGGGGTGTGGTGTGAACAATCTTTGGAGTTGTTCAGGGCAAAAACCTAAAGTCTCTGGCCAATCATCAGCAAGAAACAGAAGTCTGCCAACAATCTCTTTACTGAGTTTAGAACCCTAGCAGAACCTTGAGATGACAGTGGTTTTATTGAATATTCTGACTACATCCTCATGAGAGAATATGAACAGGACCATCAGGGAAGATGCTCATTCATTCAAAATCTATATGAGAATGAGTGTTTGTTATTTTAAGCCACTATATTTGGGATGATTTTTCACACATCAATAAGAACTGAGGAACTGAGGCATGGAGGCAGTAATACACAAGAACTTTAGAATTCAATCCAAATTTCAGTCTCAACCCTATCGTCAATTCTTGGATTTCTCTACCGTATCTATGAAGCAGGGCTGATCATTAGATCTTTAGAGAGCATAATGGAGTCATAGGTACTTCCCAATAGAGAAATACCCAGCTCATGTTGACCTCCTTAACAATAGTGTTAATGAAAGTTTCATGCACGCATTACCATAACACCACACCCAATATCTGATTGCCTGTTTCCCTCCACTAACATCTCAAGCACACTTTCCACACCTCCTCCTCCACCAGCAGGTAAATTCAGCTCTGTAGATCAACACTCCAGTTCTGTTGCCTTTGGTCATTTATTGCTCGCTTACTGTGTATCCTTATATCTTACATATGTGAGATCATCCTGTATCTGTCTTTCTCCTTCTGATTGACTTCACGCAGAATGATGCCCTCTAGTCCTATCCACAGTAGTAAATCGCATGATTTCATCTTTTCTGATAGCTGAGTAGTATTCCATTTTGTATCTATACCACAATTACTTTATTCACTCATCTGTTCTTGGGCATTTGGATTATTTCCAGATTTTGGCTATTGTGAATAGTGCTGCAGTGAATCATAGAGGCACAAATGTCTATTTTTTAAAAATTATTAAATAGTGTTTTGGCCCCTTGGGGTGATGCCAAGGAGCAGGATTACAGCTTCCAGGGCTCTTAAAATACTGACCTTTAAAAAATTATTTTCGGGGATGGAGCGATAGCACAGCGGGTAGGGCGTTTGCCTTGCACGCAGCCGACCCGGGTTCAATTCCCAGCATCCTATATGGTCCCCTGAGCACCGCCAGGAATAACTCCTGAGTGCAGAGCCAGGAGTAACCCCTGTGCATGACCGGGTGTGTCCCAAAAAGCAAAAAAAGAATTATTTTCTCTTTACACTTTATATAAAGATTTACAGAGTTGTTCATGATGATTTGTTAGAGACATTCAATATTCCAGCACCAATACAACCACCATTGCACCTTCCTATCACCACTATTTTCAATTTTCCTAACCTCTCATTAAGCCTGTCTGCAAAGAAGGCCCTCAATAATTTATTTTATATTGCTTATAATCAATAATTTGCCAAAAGAACAATCAAAAATGTTTCCTTAGAAGAAAGTTAGTGAAGATTGTTATATCGCACTGTGGAGCCATAAACCCTTGTATAAGAGATTACTAAGATGTTGTTATAGGTTAAGCCGTCTGTGTTTATATTTTGTTAATCGAGTTTGGTTGCCTTCTATTTTACATCCCATCCAGTCTGATGTGCTATTTCTGGTTTATCAGTGTGTAGTGTTTGAAACGTCACACCAGGAAGTCCAAAATTTTTAATGGGGTGATACACTCCATTAATTTTTAACTAGGTGCTGGCTTTGGGGCCTGTGGGTGACTGCTAATGTCTCCGGAAGTACAGGAAGATGTGGGAGATTTCAGTCACAAAACCTGCATACCTAAGTGTTTCAATAGATTAATTTCTGGATGAGGTTTATCCGAGCAGTAGGGTCTGCCTGGGGGCATGCTGGCAATTGTGGGGTGTGTAAGTTTTCGGCTGCTGGGGCTCTGTTTGGGCAGGCATGGAGCGCACCAGCCCTATTCCGGGTTGCCCCAGATGACTCACTATCGACATTTTTATGGGATGGAGCAGAACAGAATATCAGTATTTGTGACATTTAATCTCATTGCCTGTTTTTTGTTTGTTTAAAGGATTAATCAGGTGTCTTCCAAATTTGGCATAATTGAATCTGTGCTTATTTTCATTTATTTATCAAGTTGCACATGTTAGACTCCATTCTAAGCCTCCTGATTGATTAGCTTTTCATATCAGTTTTATGTGTCACAGACTTATTTTATTATTTCCCTATTTTACATATGTGGAGAATGAGCCGTAAAGAGTAACTCACTCAAAAGTCATGCAGATTGGTGGTGGCAGAGGCCAAATTCAAACTGGGGCAGTCCTGGGTTTGCACTGCCATGTCACCATGCTGGGTGTATCTCTGTCTTCCACTTGCCAAAAACTCACACTTCAGTCCAGAGGTCTGACTACCTTGGCCAGGGTGTAAGAACAGTCTAAGCCTATTTCTGGACAATCCTCTCAAATGTGTGGTGAAAGATTCTATGATGCATGGAAGGGCAGCTGGAGCCTTGGGGATTAACTCAGGTTCAATGCCTCCGTCCTGTGTATTTCTAGCAAGTTACTTCAATTCTCAGAACCTCACTTTTCTCATCTGTGAAATGGAAACAATATTACAAATAATATTCAACCATTAGGGGGAGCTCAAGGATGATTAATACCAAAGCAGGAGCCCAGTGATTCATATAGGGACTCCTCTGTAGCTACAGGCAGCGATTTTCCCCAACTATCAACCACCTCAGTTGGCCCAGAAGTTGTGAATCTGCCTCACAATGGGGAATTTTTTGGCACGCAGAAATTTCAGTGCAAACACTTGCCAGTTGGTTCCTATAGTTTGAGCCGCACACATTTGAAGAAATCCATCTTTTCTGAGCTTTTTGTCCTATCTTCCCTATAGGATGGCTGTAAAGACAAGACTATGGAAAGTCTTTCTTATACAAGGTATTAAGAGTTTCAATATTGTTTACATGGGGGTAGCATACACAACTGTGCTCAGGGCTAACTTCTAGTTCTGTGCTTAGAGCTGACTCCTAGTTCTCTGCTCAGGGCT